TATGATGTTACTTAATGTTAATAATACGTTAATTTATTATGTTACTAATAAGTTTATTATTAATAAATTACTGATATCAAATAACGTTACATGTTAAATTTAAAGTGATTTATCAAAATAAAAAATTTTGTGAATGAATTTATCTTTATTTTTTATTCGATAATAGATCAGTCTCTACCACTTAACTTTAAGGGTGGATTTAGTCATTTTGCCTGTCAATAAAATGATCATATAACTAGTTCTTTTTTTTTTAATCCGATAAAACCTAGTTTTTAATCATAGTTGAAAGTGTAAGCATCTAAAACCTGTACATATATCAGGTGATCAACTATTATATTTTGCCTTGCGTCAGTCATGTCATTTTGTGTTATCCCTAGTTGTTATACCTAGTGCTCTATATTATCGTCAAAATGATCAAATTCCAACTATTAGTTTCGTTAAGAAAACTTACAGCTAGCATGGTCGCCTAATGGGTGTCTTATTGCCACCACCGTGCCATAGTTCAATTTCCATAACCTCGTTCGTCCCTCCATCCCAGAGTCCCCCATTTCCGCTAGTTTTAATTAGAAAGAACTACGCTTACATGGTCAGACGGTCCTAGTACTGTATATTATTACTATTATTATTATTGTGGTTGTACAATAAGAGACAACAATCTCTTATTTATTATTTCATTTTATTCGCATGTCATGTAATTTAAACTCAGCATCTCTTGTTTCTGCTGAAATGAGATAATCACTAAATTATTTAAGTCGTTGATATTATTATTATTTTTTTAAACAGTTGGCCAATATATATAATAAAGTGTTTGTGAGTTAAATTTTTAAAAAATTATGAAAATTTTTTTAATTACATTAGTATTAGTTTTTTTTTTATAATTTTGAATGACACAATGAAAAATAATATTCTCTCATTCCTTATCTATTTTACTTACAACATATGTGATTCGAATTCAAAATTTTTTATTTTTAATAAAAAAGACTATTACTGAATTATTTAAGAAGTTGATAAAAGTATATCATTTTAGTAAATTTTGATTAAAAATTATTAAAATAACTTATTTTAAAATATGAATAAGATTGTATTATACATTAAAGGGGTGGGGGAGGAGATAAGAGAGTGGGAACCCTTAGGACTACACCTCCCTTGGGGAGCAATTGCTGCTACTTGTGCCCTCACCCAACGGGGTGTAGATGGCACTATTACTTAATATTGACTATGGATAATATATATATATATATATATATATATTGACTATGGAAAAAGTGAGGCAGTGGGGGCACCACATAAGATTTTAGAAGAAAATTAAAAAAAAAAAGAAGAAGGTTAAATGCCTTTATCCTTATTTGATTCTTACAATATATTTGATTTAAGAGAACATAAGGAAAGAGAGGAAAATAGAATGATAAAACAGTATTCAATTTTCCTCCTCATTAGAATAAATTAAGAAATTAAAACAAAAAATAAAATAAATAACTCTACTCCATTCTATATTTTTTGTTGAATGAATAAAGAAATTTTCATCCCTTCTATTCCCTTCTTTCAAACTAGACCTGTTGTTGTTTATTTAATTATTTTTTTATGTTTTGAACATCAAACTAAACCTGTTTCTAGTTCTGCAACTAGAGTGAAGTGTTTATGATTAATTAGGAATTTAAGAGTGAGCAAATGTAGTTGTAAGAATGCAAGATGTAATTGATATCTAATTTAAAAAAATTTTATTTCTAACTTATAGAACTGGAACTTAATTAATCAAAGAGCTAGCTAAAAGTATCTAACTTGACGATTATGATATCACTACCAATAATCTTTATTATTATTATTATTATTATAGAATGAGCAAACCTCTTCTATTACTATTACAAGTTCATACTCTTTTTGGTGGTAAAAACCAACATTTAGCCCCTCATCTTACAAAATTGATAGGTTTTAATCCATCATCTTATAACATGACAGTTTTAGTCTTTTATCTTACAAAATTGATAAGTTTTAGCCCCTTATCTTACAAAGTTGGTAAGTTTTAACTTTTTACCTTATATTATGATATTTTTAACCCATCACAGATATGAATTAAATAAAATAACTCTCACCTAACATTAGGTTATAATGTTATGTTAGTTCTGTTAGTTGACTATTAACATTTGTTAGTATTCTGTTATAAAAAATATAAAATTTAAATTCAATTTTATTTATTAGTTTCATTAACGGAATGTTAACATATGCTAATAGTCAATTAACAGAACTAACAGTCAGCTAATAGAACTGATAATCAACTAACATAACTAATAGAATATTAAAATTTGATGTTAAATAAGGGTTATTTTCTTTAATTCGTACAGATAAGAGGTTAAAAGTATCATAATATAAAGTAAATGGCTAAAACCTACCAATTTTGTAAGGCAAGGGGTTAAAACCTACTAACTTTGTAAAGTAAAAGATTAAAAGTATCATATTATAAGATTAGGGACTAAAACTTACTAATTTTGTTAGATGAGGAGCTAAATGTTGGTTTTAACCCTTTTTAGCTTGTAAGCTGTGTAATTGAGAGATAACTTTTTGTCATATATTTATTTATTTTATCACTGTCATC